TACGATATCGCTGTGAGTACACAAATCCACGTTATCTACTCAATTATTGTCAGCCGGCGGCAGAACCGGCGTAAGACAACCATCAAGGTTATCTCACACTCTCTGACAAGAAGTGTGCAGTAATTATTTACCTGTACAATTGTAATTCAACATCAATTCAACGATTTCAAGGCACCTTGTGTAGTGACACCTCCTATATAAGAAGCCGTTCAAAAAATCATATCTTCACATAAGATTCAAGAAGTAAAATCTTCAACACCCACATGTAAATTCTGTAATAAATTGTATAATAAATGTGTATAATTAACCAACTCTCACGACTCTTGTACAGCCCCTCCATCTCACTCCTTCCCGAGCGTCTGCTACGGCGGGCGGCAAACTAAGCTATTGAAGCATTGGCAGTTCGAGCCAAGAATTACATCACTATAATTTCGAACACAATGTTTAGTGATAAAAAAATTAAGAATTGTTAGTAGTGATGAATTCCTACGATGTAACTAAAAGATTATAAATGGATTATTTTTACTTGCAATGACGCTTTGAATAATATTTATAATATTACCGATGCGTCAATAAATTTTGATTAGAAAAATATTTATTCGTGGAAGGTACGTGTGACATAATGAGCATCAAACCATGTAGAAACGTATTAATTACGATTGTATGAAAAGAATTGCTCGCCTTTCTAGTCTCGAGGGTGCGTAGAAGAATGTGAAAAATTTATTAAATTAGACGTATTGGCAACACATAAAACTCGAATCGATTACGAAGTCAGATTAAAGTTAACATCAGCAATAATGCACGAGCCATGGTATTTATTTGAAGGCTTCAATTTAATTCAAAGCACGATTATATGCATCTCAACGGCCAATTTAAATATTTAAAGCACTTCAGAGCAGTGACCCGCGGTATTCCATCTTGCGGCATTAATATCATCAAGGTCGGCATTGTTTAAGCGATAGCCATAATCGAGCACCGGGATATCGAGAACGCGACCGCGTATCGGTCAGCCGCTGTTTCAGCAAAAAAAAAAGGGATACAGAATATTCAGAGAAATTATGCGCATTACTTCTAGAGGCCTTTTATATACCTCCTCTGGGCTACTTAAGTTTTTTCTATTCGCCTCTATCTTCCTTTACTTCTCATTTCGAGGGAACAATCGAAGCGCAGTCACGGTTGATGTTACTCTTTCTGCGGTATTCAATTGAAAATACCATGAATATCGCGAGAATTCCATTTGTTAGAAAGTTTGCATTGCATGCAAAATCATTGCTTCTTGAGAGAATATTATTGACACTGATGAGGAAAAATATCGTTAAAACAAGGCATTGCGGCGAAATTCCTCCTTTAACCAGCATGAAAAATTAAAATAAATAATATCCATTACTACGCTGCAGTGGAAAATAATAGTCTAATTATTTGCGATAAAATTGCTACTTCTTAGTCCTCTCAATCTCACTTATATGCTGCTTAATGGAAAAGGTATGCATAATAATTATATTTGTTCAACTTTATACTGGAAGCTTAGAAAAATTCGCTAATCTTAGAAAATCATTTATGCTTTTAATGCTCCATAAAGGCGTTGAAATTAAAATTTCAGCAAAATTTTAACAATACATATCTCTTTAATAGCGAGTATAATTATAGTAACGAGAATAGCTCACTTATTCTTACGAAATGCTGCGGTGATTTCAATAAATTTACAAAAACATTAAGATTGTAATAAGTGAAGGATTAAAAATTTATCCTAAATTAAAATACGCTAAATATATTCTATGCTGATAAAAGAAGGAATAATACAATAGATTACGAACATTATATCAGCGCTGGATTTTATTTTACTAAAATGAAAAGGATGAAAATTCCACGCGAACGGGAATAATTTGATAAATTGTAATTCAAAATTAGCACATAATATCTCCTATAAGTATGAATAAAATTTATGCCTTCGATTAAGCTGATAATGAGCGAAACGTAAAAAGGCGCATTTGTTGTCATTTTTTTCGCCGTTTGGGGAAAATTGAGAATCACTTGCGATCTTTATCGGGTTCAGTTCGGAAAGCTACGCAATTTGCCCGTACTATGCAGAGATTAACAGCATCCCTGTATAAAAAGATTAAATTCAAGCACGGTGAAGTCATATGGTAAAGATTCGACTCGACTAAACTACCGAGCAAGATGTTAAGTGTAAGGGTAAAGAATTTAGCGATAAAGTACGCCAAGGAACATAAAAAAGAACATAAAAATTAAGAGATAGAAGGCACGGAGGGAATGATAACTGCAGAAACTGATTTACTTATTTTCTTCGCGTTGCCTACACTTTAGGATCAACAATTTTTCAATAATTCTAATACAATTACTTTGACGTTGTAACACAAAGTGTTTCAATATCCAACTCAATCGAGCAATTTTTTATTTCAATCGTTGTTTTTAATGAATATTTATTACAAAATTATTATTAAAAAGAGTATGGCAAGTAGTTTCAACTATAATAAAAAATATACAAACCATGAGTAATTACATTTAAAATACTAGCATATTACTTACTATACCAGTATATAATATATGAATATATATATATATATATATATATATATATATGTATATATTAATTTATATATGTATATATTAATATATATATATGTATTTATTAATTTTTTATTAGATTAAAATTGAAAATAATAAACATTGTCGTGTAAAGGATAAATTAAACATATAAGTCGAATATTAATCGACATACGTTATTCGACAATGTTTCAATAAAGTATACAATACAATATGGAATGAATATTGAATTTGAAAATGTAAATAATTGGTTTGTATGCCAAAAGTATAAAAGAATTAATTCGATGACGATGACTATCCGTTGAACGAATAAGGCTTCGTTTTAACTACACCACTCTTATCTGTCCAACTTCTAAAAATCAGTAAATAGAGACAAAAAATTCCAATACCGTCTCGATGATTACAGTTTTCGAATCTTCCGTTTACGGTGGCTCTTAATATTTCATACGATTGCGCTTTTCGCGAGGAAATGCCGACTTTAAGCATTTCATTGTTCGCCCATCCATTTTTAAATCAAGTATAAGTCTCTTCGTGATCATGATCATTCGTAGAATTATTGGTAATACTTATTTACTAAGAATTCACCATCCAAGTGTTCCGTGAATTCGTTTTATCTATAATAATTTTCTTACAAAATTTATTGTTACAAATATAAGTAACACAAACTCGTGCTTAAGTAAGAGAAGCATAGACCACGATAATTGGTTTATCTTATAACAGTAATCTCTCCTACAAAGAAATTTGATCACAGCCAATTTTTCACAGTATAATGAAGAGCTTTCACAGCATTTTCGGAGCAATTGTCCGTAATAAGCAATTAATCTTATCCAACGATTCAATCTAATCATATAGTTTATGTATTGTATGTGCGTGTGTGTGCACATAGCTTCCATGTATCAACCCTTTTTACATGGCAGCAATTATTTACGATTATCCGCTTTCAGCTCATTCTATACAATAGTCGCTCATCTTGCAAAGCTGTATTTTTTTTATTACTAATTTAAACTATTTCAATATTTCAAATCATTGTTCATTTGCAAAATACTGTGAAATGAAGAAACCACAAATTCATAATAAATTTAACAATATCACATAATCGAGTATTTAGATTGTGAACATAGTATATGATGCGATACATACGATTATTAAAATTATGTATGACTACGTGCAAAACTGTACAAATTGCACATTTTCATGCGTGGATTTTACAAAAAATATTCCTACATACATTAATTATTTCAGATTTCATAAGTTTCAAAATAATGTTCTACTATGATCTAATTTAATAATCTACCTTTATGATTTGTATTGCAAAATTCAATTTGAATCTTTCATTAGCTTTGGAGTATTTAAAATAATTAAATGTCAACATAGACTAAATATAAATTAATAATTAATAGTTATTAAGAACATTGTTGCAATAAACAAATTTTAATGTAAATAATAAATAATAAATAATAAATAATAATAATACTTACGAAATGATTTATTCAATCTTTCTATCGAATCAACGTTTGTCTTTTTCCCCATTTCTTATTCTATAAATTTACTTTACTTATATTATCTGAAAATAAATTGAAAATATCAATATGACGAATATACATGCCTAGAAGCTCTAAAATACATAGTAATTTTTGCCTAAAATCCTTTATCATTCGTAAATTATATAGATATTAATCATTATCATATAGGATCTGTAATATTGAAGATAATATTATTATGCGTATGGAGTAGATTGGAAAAAGTATTGTTATTAAATGAAATTGTATAACATATGCTTTTGTTGTTGATACGAGGTCGAACGTACAAAATGTAAAAATTTAACAATATCGAGCTTTAAAAGTCACTTGTATACATATAAGATGATACTACACATACGTTGTTATATATGCTCGGTGTCTCGGATTACGACAAACATTGTCTTTATTTCGTTATTAATCATTTAAATTAATTAATGTATCGTATAAAGCTTGAATTTGTAACTTAGTCTGCGTGTATTCTCGTTTTTATTCTCTCTCTCTCTCTCTCTCTCTCTCTCTCTCTCTCTCTCTCTCCCTCCCGATTCCAATAATAAAGGCCAGCTTTCAAATATTAAATATGAATATAAAACCAAAATACATTTTGATCGCTAAATTTTGATCACCATATTCTAGATCTTCAATTTTGCCGACTGTTATGCTAGTTGGTCAAAATTTGATATCGACGCTACTTTTACTTACGTCTCTCTTTTTTAAGTAAGCCTTAAAATTTCAAAATTCGATGTTCTGTATCTCTGAACTGCCGAGACGATCTTTTACAAAATTTAAACGAATTTCTTTATCTACAAGCTTCCAATGCATATATATTCAATGCGCTTAACGAGTCGACGATAATCATTAAGCGCAGGTCCCGAATCGGTATCCCCCCACCTAACCAACGCATTCGATAACAATATTCGACTACAACGCCACTCGACAGTCTGGAACTCGGCACGCGGGTATCATCACCTTGAAATTGTTTATTGGAATATTTCTAATGGTCAGAACACAAGATCTAAGCCGGTGGTAATCGCGCCTTTTCTATCAAGTTCATCGTGTATTTCACATTTCGATGTGACTGAAGAAAGAAGCGCAACTTCCATTCCAAAACTTGTGTTATTATTTTACTGCAATAACTTTAATAATATTAAGTCGTAGCTCTTCTTAATTGGGTACAACATTTCAAATATGTTTTAATGTAAAGATCGATGTTGTTTTTGCAATCCGTATTTCATAACTATTATTATCCTTTATTAATGAGGCCGTTTTGTAATGCAGAAATCTAGCCTCAATAAATTCCGTTAACATTAATTGTACGTTAGAATAAATATCGAAGAAGAGATTGATAAATAAGTGAATCATGAGGTACGGCCAATTGGTAATTGGGCCAGCAGGTAGTGGCAAGGTAATTCATTGTTACATTTCAATACTGCAGCATTTGATCATTAAATTTTTCATTCAATCACTATATTTTTAGTCTACGTATTGCTCTATAATGCAAAAGCAAGCTGCGGACGAGCGACAAACTGTTGATATTGTTAATTTGGATCCAGCAGCCGAACATTTTGATTATCAACCCATTGTTGATATTAGAGAGCTAATTACCGTGGATGATGCTATGGAAGATGAGGAATTAAAGTTTGGACCCAATGGAGGTTTAGTATTTTGTATGGAGTAAGTTTTATTATTATAAATTTTGAAAATTAAAGTCATGTTCATTTATTAATATGGATGTAATTTATAGATTTTTAATTGAAAATTTATCATGGCTCCACGACGAATTAGGAGACACGGATGACGATTACATTATTTTTGATTGTCCTGGACAATTGGAATTGTATACACACATGACAATGATGCGACAGTTAATTACAATGCTACAGAATCTTAATTTTCGCCTGTGCGTAGTTTTTGTGATAGACAGTCAGTTTTTAATTGATGCTTCAAAATTTTTGTCAGGAACAATGGCAGCTCTAACGGCTATGATCAATTTAGAATTACCGCATGTAAATTTATTAAGCAAAATGGATCTCTTATCAAAGGCTGCTAGAAAACAATTGGATCGATATTTAGAGCCTGATCCAAGCAACTTATTGTCAGAGGAAGATAACGATGAATATGAAAAGCTTACTCAGGCTTTAGGAAGAGTCATCGAAGATTATAGTTTAGTAAGATTTTTACCATTTAACATCAGAGACGAAGAAAGTATAGCCGATGTAAAATTAACGATCGATAATATTATACAATATGGCGAAGAAGAGGATGTGAGAATGAGAGACTTTGATGAGCCTGATCCAGATGAAAATGAAACGTGATTATTGTTTCCAACAATGTCAAATGTTTGTAAATATAAAAATAAAATTTTAAATTTGTACTAAAAAATATAATAAATATTTATTTTACACAATAATATTTAAACTAGGCTGGTTTATTAATTACAGACTGTTGTGATGAGTTTTTTTTGTCTTGTTCCATCTTGTGCTTTTCTAAAAAACTTTTAAACGACTCTGCCTCTTTGTTTTCATCATTATCGTTTTCTATATCTTCCGTACCTTCGTCATCTTCGCTAGATTCATTAGCTGGATGTTTCAAATACATATCCGCTATTTCTCTACCACTACTAACTGTTGAAATGAAAGGAACATCATCTCCAGAAGTAGCTTTAGCAGCGTTCATTAATTGCTTCTCCTTCTTCTCTTTTTCTTCTTTTAATCTTTTCTCTCGAATATTTTGCCAGGATACCCTGTATTTTCTATAAAACATTTATAATCATTAAAGATAAACAAAATAAATGTTTATAAAGTTTTAAAAATCAAATTCCTCTAATTCTTACTTGTAATAATCATGTTTTGCACTTGTAACAAGATTGAAAAAATCTGATATACCAGTGCCTACGGTGGCTGATACTCCACAGCAATGGAGATTATTATAAAATTCATCGAGCGCAAGAGCCATACTACGTGTTAAATTACTGATATAGGTAGTTTCGGAATCGAGAACTTCTTGAAAAGCTTCAAAATCATGCATCCATTCCAGAGCATAACTATGGTCGACAATATCAATCTGAAACATCCATCACGTTAAGTTTGATGGTATCGCAAGGACAATTGTATAAAGTTTTTCCTCTTTACCTTATTCATAACGACGATCAAAGGTAATTTATTAGTTTTGTATAAAATAGAGCAAGCATATAGCATATTTGACATAAACGTTACAGGCTTTACGCTTCTAACGGTATCCATAACATATACAATAATCGTAGGGAAATGAGAGGCTAAAGCCTCGGTTATAATTGCTCCACTGGCTGACCAAGTGAAAACTTCAATTTGCCCTGGGGTATCCAATACAACGTACTTATGATCTTTTCCCGCTTGTTCGATAAGCTCTATAACTTGATCGAATTTTGTTGAAAACAAATTTAAGGATGTAACGATACCCCCGTTAGGACCTAAACTATATTGTTTCATAACTTCTTTATAATTAACTGTATCTCTTATATCTATAATAAAATTTATATTTAGTTAAATTTCTATTCTTATTGTAGTTATAACTCTCAGAATGATTTACAAAGTCATTTACCAATATTAGCTGGATAAGGAACTTCGATGCAGGCAGGATCTAAATTTATTGCATACGGCTTTCCATTATCGTAAAGTTTAGATACTAATTTCGTGACGAATGTTGTTTTTCCAGAACCAGCCATTCCAAGTACAATTATGCACGTAGGCTTATTATCTACTGAACATAGCGAATCCAAATTTTCATTCTTACTGCCCATAGGCTCGGATATAGTCTGGCCTTCGGCCATTCTGTCGAATTAAATTGCCTAAAACAGAAACGTAGAATTATCGAATTGACATTATGCCCTTTCCTATAATCTTCATTAAAATATCTAAGCTTGAAAATTTCTGTGCATCACTTTGAATTCGAAACAATGAAATAAATCACTAGGTTCGTGATCCTAACCTGTTCGTTCATGTGCAAAGGAACATTTATATTAAAATACGCTGAACGCGTATTAGCGCTCGTCTCAAATTAAAGCAAAGTAAAATTTTAATAATCGCCAACTTCCAATCTATCCCTCGGTCGGCTACTCGGCAAAAAATAATCCTACAATCGCTTGATTAATGAAACGCAAGTTCGGACGGCAGTTCGCTCCTCAAGTGACCAAAGCTCATTTTCGTCAGCACTGGCCACCCAACGACTCTCCTCTATTTTTCTTTTTTCGTTTTAATATTTATTATACCGTGATTGGCGAGCGGGGGGGGGGGAAAGGAGGAGATATGGTTTCGTAATAATACTCAAGATGCCTCGTATCATGAACAATGAACAACCATCGGATCGCATGATAAAAGGAAAACGAAACGAGTGAACGAACGCAATACGCCGAGTTGGGACCTTCTCGGTTTGCGGCGCACGATAATGAATTTGCCAAATTTTTACGGAAAACCAAAAAACAAAAAAACAAAACATAAAAAACAAAAACCAATGTGTTGGTTTGATGGGACGTGGCGAGAGGGGGCGAGGGAGGTGAGGAGAAGACGCTTCCGCGCTCTTCGCTTGAAAAGTCGCTGAAATGGCTAAGGTTGTACGACACGAACTTGCCTTTAAAAGATCCGACATGTCTCGATAATTTTCAATCGCCGTTTCTCCTCGGTGAACGATTAAAAAATAGTGTGTGTGTGTGTGTG